TCTCACTCTCACTCTGCCTTTCAAATAAGCATTCTTTACTGAAAAATTAAACTACAGATATGTTCAGATGTATCTTTGTCTTGAATGCATGCTGTCCTTTCCCTCTGTCCTGCCACCACCCTGGCCTAAATGCCATCATCCCTTGCCTGGGTTATTCCTGTCATGGTCAAATGCTCTCTTTCACAGTTTCTCTCCTTCCACCTGCTGGTTCACTCCCGAAATGGCCACAGCATCCCAGGCTGGGCCACAGAAAGCCAGGAGCCAGGACCTGCATCCAGGTCTCCCCCACGGGTACTTGAGTCGTCTTGTGATGCTTTTCCCAGGTGCATTAGCTGGAACATGGATCGGAAGTGGAGCAGCTGGAACCTGAACTGGAACCCATATGGATTCCTGTGTCACAGGCAACCGCTTAACCTACAACACCAGCACTTTTTTTTTTTTTGGAGATTTATTTTATTTTTATTGGTAAGTCAGACCTACAGAAAGAAGGCGAGACAGAAAGAAAATCTTCTGTCTGTTGACCCACTCCCCAAGTGACCACAATGGCTACACCTGTGCCAATCTGAAGCTAGGAGCGAAGAACCTCTTCCGGGTCTCCCATGTGGGTGCAGGGTCCCAAGGCCCTGGGCTGTCCTCAATCGCCTTCCCAGACCACAGGCAGGGAGCTGGATGGGAAGCGGGGCAGCCGGGACACAAACCAGTGCCCATATGGGATCCTGACATGTGCAAGGTGAGGACTTTAGCCACCAGGCTACCACGCTGGGCCCATACCACCACCTTTGAAAAACCTATTTGCTAGAACCACTTCGCTAGAATGAAGACACCAAAAACTTGCAGAAATGGGGCTGGCATTTGGCAGAGCATTTAAAACTCAGGTTGGGACAATTTCGTTCCCCATCAGAGTAGCTGAATTGGGCCCCAGCTTCAGCTCTGCATCCCAGCTCCCGATGATCAGACCGGGAAACAGCAGTACAGCTAGCATGGTTGGTACACTGCCCCCGACGTGGGAGACCTAGAGTGAAATCAGCTTCCACCCAACTCCAGCTGCCACTGACATTTGGGGAATAAACCAGCAGGTGGGAGCCCACTCTCAAATAAGCAAATGAGTAATTTTAAGCCCCCCCGAATCCCGCCCAGACTGACCCAACAAAACACAGGGGAAAGCAAAAATGGAAACAAAAACCAAATTATTTTCAAAAAAAAAAAAAAAGAGAGAACATGAAATGACATCAGATTTTATAAGAAAAACTCCAGCAACCAATTTATGGTAGAGAAATGCTTCCAAGTTTTCAAGGATTTTCAACCAAGTTTTCTATCCGCAGTTGACTAGTTAATGATCAAATGAAAGAACAGAATCAGGGCGTGAGTTCCAACATAGCCAGCCACAAAACTGTCCCACACAGTTCCACGGAAGACTGTCGCAATAGCAAGTTCCCCCTCCGCGTCCCACCTGACTTCTGGGGGCCGATTTTGGTGGAATCTCTCCGAGTCAGGGCAGCAACCCAGAGAGACAGGTGTCATTATAGAGACACGGGGACACAGAGGCTGCGTGCCCTGCCCACGTGCCCTGCCCACGTGCCCCAGGATGGTGGCACACAGAAACATTTACAATAAGTTTAACTACAAACGAGCACATTTCAGAAGAGCGACATGCTGCAGTGTGAAGGATGTGCACGTGTGTGTGTGTGTGTGTGTGTGTTTACAAACATACAGGATCATAGTAGAATAAAATCTGGGCAAAGACGGGCAGTAACATGGATTGGGGACAGAGGGGAAATGAGATTGAAAGAGCTGAATGGGGCCCGGCGCGGTACCCTTAGTGGCTAAAGTCTTTGCCTTGCATGTGCCAGGATCCTGTATGGGTACTGGTTCTAATCCCAGCAGCTCTACTTTCCATCCAGCTCCCTGCTTGTGGCCTGGGAAAGCAGTCGAAGACAGTCCAAAGCCTGGGGACCCTGCACCCACATGGGAAACCCAGAAGAGGCTTCAGGCTCCTGGCTTTAGATCAGTTCAGCTCTGGCCATTGTAGCCACTTGGGGAGTGAATCAACAGACGGAAGATCTTCCTCTCTGTCTCTCCTTCTCTCTATATGTCTGATGTTCTAATAAAAAAAATAATAATAAATTTTAAAAAACATAAATAAAAATTAAAAAGAAAGGGGAATGTCCTATGTGAAACGTTGTCATATTTTTCAAGTCTCTGCAATGAATATGTTCTTTTAAAAAGTAAAGGATGTGGGCCCGGCGCGGTGGCGCAGTGGTTAAGGTCTTCGCCTTGCACGCCCGGGGTCCCATATGGGCGCCAGTTCTAATCCGGGCGGCCCCGCTTCCCATCCAGCTCCCTGCCTGTGGCCCGGGAAAGCAGTCGAGGACAGCCCAAAGCTTTGAGACCCTGCACCCGCGTGGGAGACCCGGACCGGAAGAGGCTCCTGGCTTCGGATTGGCATAGCATCGGCCATTGCGCTCACTTGGGGAGTGAATCATCGGATGGAAGATCTACTTCTCTGGCTCTCCCTTCTGTATATCCGCCTTTCCAATAAAAAAAAATAATAAAAATAAATCTTAAAAAAAAAAAAAAGCAAAGGATGTGGGGACCAGTGTTGTGGCATAGTGGCTCGAGCCTGCAGGGCCAGATCCCGATGGCTGCTCCACTTCTGAGCCAGCTCCCTGCTCATGTGTGCCTGTGTCTGTGGGTTTGATGCTTGCCGCATCTGCCCTTGCTGGGGTAGGAAGGTTTAACTCAATAGTGCCTACAGCAGTGCCTGTACCTGGCACAAAATCAGAGCCTATGGTACATGGCCCAATGAGGGGATCCTGCAGTGGAAATATGGGTGGGTGGGGGTTAGAATGAGTGGACAGATGGGTGGGTGGCTGATTCTGTCACGTGAGTCAGGGGATAGTGACCCAGGTGTGTGTCATTCTGCTTGCCCCTGCCCCTCACGTCCCCAGCTGCTGCTTCTCTCCCGACACGGGAGGCCTTGGTGTGAGCACAGCCGTGGGGAGCATGTCCTGGCCTGGTTCTTTAGCATGGGACCCTCATGAGCTACCTCACTGAACCATCGCAGCACTGGAAGGTCAGTCTGGTTTGACATATGAGGAAATTGGGGTTCCAGGAAGTTCTGTGACTCGCCCCAAGGTTACACCACAGGTGAGAAGTTGAACCAAGGACCCGCAATCGCACCAAAGCCTTTCCCCCAAGGGTCACTGTCCTGAGATGTGGACACAGCCCAGGCAGGCATTGACCGATGGGGGTGGGGGCATCGCTAGGCTAGAATTTGCAGACAAGGTCTTCCAACAGGTGCAGATGAGATCATCCAAATCCTGGGACAGGGGCAAGCCCAGGGACAACTGGAGAGCTTAGGCCTTTGTGACCAGAAGGAGGTTCCCAGGCAGTTCACCTGGGAGTTATTTTCTGCAGCATCACCCCCAGATGTAAGGAAGCTATGTGGGCCTGCACCTGGAAAAGCCATGCTTTCTCTGATGTGCCCCCTCCATCAGTCCCTGCTCCAGGTCTAGCGAGGTTTCTAGATAAACTGGAAGCACCTCTTGTTAATAGGACCAAAAGCTGAGACCTGAAGCCAGGTGCACCAAACCCAGCAGAGGGGAAGCATCCCTGTTGGAGCCACCAGGGGGCGCCCATCCTCAAGGCCAGAGGGCCAGCTGGGTTCAGGGACTGTGGTGGAGTGGGTGTGCCGTCCTGGGTCACATTGGCTCCTAGGTGGGGGTGGGGATGGGGTGGTGAGAAAGGAGCTGTGGGTAGAGTTGGAGGAGGGAGACTTTACCCACTGGATTTTCCCACAAAGGGGATGTCTTTTTTCATAGAATTACAGTTGGTGTTTCAAAGAATGAAAAGTGACTTGTCCCCCCAAAGTTCCCAGAGAAGCCTGTGTCATCCACTCCTTCCCGCCCAGGTGTGGCCATTGCGCTTCCAGGCCACGCCTCCAGGCCGCAGGTGTGCATGCTGTCAAGGTTTGGCATGTACCCCAAGAGCCCTCCCATGTAGACCCGTGACCATATGTGGCATCCCTGGGTGCAACCGTTTAGCGGAGGGAGACTACAACAGGTGCATCTGCAGAGTGGGCTCCCGAGGGATTGGCCACCAGGGATGGCCTCAACTGTGAGAGCGTCCTCAGCCCTTTGTCCTCTGGGAATGCAGACACCCCAACATCCCCTCTCGGACACCCTAGAGTACCCGTCCCAGGGGACATGGATGGCTCAGGAGGGGTGCATCCTAATACACCAAGGTCCACACAGTGAGTATCTTCTCACCACCCCCTGCCCTGGCCCGGGGCACCCGTCTCCTGAATTGGCCCCAGTGCGGCAGCTGCACCTGGCAGCCTAGAGGAACCCCGGCTGGCCAAGGCCTCTTGCCCACCTGGTATCCCCAGCAAACCTGCGGCCTCCACGTCAGTTGCCCAGAGGCTTGGGACACTTTCTTGAAAACCAACAGGTCCCAGCAAAGGGTTTGCTCTGCGCCTCCCCACCCCACCCCAGGAGAATTGGGCAATGACACTTCAGTTTATCGTAATTGGCATGACATCTAGTACCTAGCTGGCAGAGGCCAGGGACACTGCTGGGCCTCAACACTGCACAGAGCTGCCCGGTCCCCAGTGTCTGCAGGGCCAGGTTCAACGGTGGCCGCACACCACGGGGGGTGATGGGCAGAGACGAGGAGGGCCTGGGCGGGGTCTCGGGGGATGAGTAGAGGAGAAGGGCCAGGCGAGGAGCAGACACACTGTGACGGCCACACTGCTCAGCTCCCGGAGACGCAGGGTCCTTGTGCCACAGGGTAACTGGCAGACTAACCCCAGTCTGGGCACGCCAGTGACACTCCCTCTTTGGGGTGGGGATGCCGTCCTCTGCCTCCCGCAGAACTACAGCATCTGACCCTAATTGTTCCAAGGCAGCCCCCAAACCATTGGCCCATTCTCTCTGCAGGCCCCAGGCAGGCTCAGGGGGCCTGGACAGGGCATGAGGAGGGGCCAACGGGCCTATACTCACCACTGTGGCTCTCTCCATCACTGCTGAGATAGGGGTAGTACTCATGTGTCGGGCGTTGGTACAGATCTGTGTCATAGGAAACTAGCTCCTCTGATGGCTGCCCAGAGAGAGAGAGAAAGAGCGAGAAGAGGGGGGTGAGGCCTGTACTGTGGGGTAGGGTGGTGGCGGGTAGGGGAGACCCCAGTTGCTATGCAGCCTCCCTCCACCCCTGCCTGGTGTGTTGGGGTGGGGGAAGGGAGTCAGTCACCTCCCTGCACTCCTGGGGTCAGGCCAGCGGAGCAGAAAGGGGCCTTAAGTGTGGGAGGTGACCAGAGGCCGTGGTCCCCTGCTCCGCTGTTCTGCGTAGGTCTGCACCCACACCTGGCAACCCCTGGCCAGCTCACCTCCACACGGGTACATTGACACCCACCATCTCATGCACACACCACACTCTCACGTGATGGGGCATACTCAGCTCCCGGAGCCCACACACGCCCACAGCTCTGTTCTTTGGTCACGCATGTTCATGCGCCTGCCCCACCCCCCGCCCCATGGCAGTGTCACACAGAGCTTGCACCCCAGCCCCCACGGGGCAGGCTCACCTCCAGCCACAGCCTCCCCAGCCCACCCTACCCTCCCCCTTCAGCCTGCACCTGGCCCTGGAGCCTGCTCAGGGACAGATGGCTCGGTCACCCAGGCAGACCTTGGGGGCCAAGGGACAGGGGACCTTGATTGTTACTCTCCTTCCCACACCCTGCACTACCCCCCACCCCGACTCCCCGCCACTGCACCCTGGCTTGGGCACAGAGACCTGCACAGCCCGAGTAACCCCAACAGTCACCAGGCCTCTCCCTGCCCCCGCAGTGTGTGCCCAAGAATTGCACAACAGCTCTGTTGGCCCTGGGGACTTGGCTCTTGGGACGGGGGGAGGGGGCAGGCCTCAGAAAAAGCCCACCCTCCCAGAGATGCTCAGAGAGGCCCTAGGGGCAGGCGAGGGGGCTGAGGGTGCCAAGCAAGCTAGGCTGGCTGGTCCTGCATGCATTCGGCCGAGTGAGGAGCCCACAAGCCCAGCACCGCAGCCAGCCACTGAGATGGGGCCTGGGAACCTCCAGGGCTCTGAAGCTGGGGTGGGGCAGACAAGGGAGCTACTGGAGGCCGGGAAAGCTGAGTCAGGCAGGCAGACCCCAGCAGCCCTTCCCGGCACCCCCCACCAGCCCCCTGAGAGGACATGCTATAGGGGAACAGAAAAGGGTCCTCTCTAAGGGATGCCCGCCTGACACCTGCCCAAGGCTGTAACTGTCACTGAGAGCGGAGGACACTGGGGTTCTGCCTGGAGCTGCTGCCCAGCCCTACTGGGGTGCCCCACTGGGACTGCTGTGACTCCACACCCCACTGCCCCCAAGACTAAGCCCCTGACCTTGACCCCAAGTCGGCCTCTGTCCCAGCTCCAGTCCAACACTCAACCCAGTTTCTAACCTGTCCCAACTTCAGTCCCAGCCTTGGGGCAGCCCCAAGTCTCTGCCCTGGCTGTCTCTGAACCTTGGCCCCAATGCCAACTCCCCTCCACCCATGCCCAGCTTGCACCAAGCATGCCCTCGGCCCAGGCCCTGCTTCTCTAGGATCTGTGGGCCCCAGGCCCAGACCCGCTGGTCAACAGCTGTGTCCTCTGTGCCAGGCCCCAGGCTGGGCACTGGGACCCAAAGTCGTGACAGTGTCCAAACAGCCCCCAAGCTACGGCCCCTTGGCTTCCCTGCCAAGATTTCTGCCTCTTATCTCTTAGGCCCCTTCTTGCTCCCCTACTCCTCTCCCCAGCCACCCTGCCACCGCCCTCACCATCTTCGGCCTGGCACCCCTGCCCGGAGCTGCTGCTGCCTGCCACCCAAGCCATCTATAAATAACCGTTCAGGCCCCACCGATCACAGCTCCACTGAGGGCCCAGCCTCAGCCCGCCAGGACGTGTGCCCTCCAAAGAAGCCAGTGGCTCCTGGCTAGGTCTTCTGGCGGCAAGGGGTTTGGGGAGGAAGCATGTCTTCCCACTGATAGCACGTCCAAGGGCAGCACGCGGGTGGGCTGGCGGGGTGGCAAGGTTGGCAGGCAAGCGGGTGGGCATCCGACAGGCCCCAGTGGGGCCAGCGGAGGAGCCCCAGTACTCACAGGGGGGACGAGGGGAAACCCTTCCATTTTGCACGCCTGTAACATTCAGCCAAGCTCCGAGCCGGTCAAGATCCCCTGCCTCGGTGGGGGCCAGTGCGGAGCCCCTTAGGATGGGTAGTCCCGTCGGGGGGCCAGGGTCAGGGCAGGGGGGCACTAGACGGCCACGGGCCAGACGCAGGGCTCGGGCCTGCCCCCTGAGCTAGAGGAGCCCTGGGTGAGCCCCCTCCCTTGACATTGCAGGGCCAGCAAGTTCCTGATTTTATCGAAGGGCCTGCCGCTGGGAGATAGTCCCCTTGGGGTGACATCACCGCCCCAGCCGGTTTGCATAAATCTCTTGCGTACGCTACAGGAAGTCTCTGGCCGGCCGGGGCAGGTGGTGCTCCAAGGGGCTGGCCGGGGGAGGCCGTGGGGGCCAGGCCCCCTGCCCAGAGGAAGCCTGCGCAGGGGGGCAGTGGTGGTGGCAAGGCCTTTGCTGCTCCCACAGCGCCAGCGCCCAGAGATTCCCTCTTGGTCCTGTCACCCAACCAATGTCTGTTTCTTTGGAGATCCCTAGGTGCCACGGCCAGTTCCCTGGGGGTAGGGGGTTGTCAGTGCAGGCTGTCCCATGGGGCCTGCCTGGCTTTCTGGACCTGCCTGGCTGGCTGAGGGCTACCCCCAAGCACCTTGCTCCCCTTGCCCAGCTTGGCCGAGATTGGCCCAGGCTCAGGCTTAGGGTGCCCAGTGGAGCCCCACTTTCCTTTTTCCTTCAAGTTCCTTCCTATAGGCTCCGTTTCCACCAGGGGAGGCCTTGAGCTTCTGACAACCCCGTATCACCACTTGCCTCACTCCCACTGCTCTTGAGGGAGGGGTCTGTTTCCAAGTCCTATATCTCAGCCTCCCTGCCCCCCTCCACCGTCCCTGCCTAAGCATCAGTCTCACCTGCTTGGTTTATAAATCTTCCTCATCACCCATCATTCATCTATTTGTCTCTCCCTGTGCCCACCCACCTAGCCATCCATCACCTATCCACTTAATCCACCTGCCCATCACTTGTCCTTTTCTCTGTCCATTTATCTATCCCCAACCTGTATCTCCTGGTCCACCCAGCCATCTCTGTGTTCATACATCAGTCTGTCCCTCCATTGTCAACCTGTTGCTTCCTGTCTCCGTCTGGTTTGTCCATTGTATGAGGCAGGCTCAAGAAGCTCATGACTGGCAGCAGGCACTTTGGGACAGCGTGTTAAGTCCCCACCTGACATCCTCTAGGTAGTACTGGTTCAAGCCCCAGCTACTCCACTTCTGATCCAGCTCCCTGCTAATGCTCCTGGGAGAGCAGCAGAAGGTGGCTCAAGTGCTTGAGTGCCTGCCACCCATGTGGGAGGCTTGAGGAAGTTTTTGGATTCTGGTTTCTGCTTAGCCTTTCCCTAGTCATTGTGACCATTTCGGAAGTGAACCAGCAGATGAAATCTCTAACTCTACCTCTTGAATAATTTTTTTAGGTTTATGTACAAATTATTTTATATTTTATTCTATTTTTCTAACAATTTTTAAAGTTTATTTATGTGTTTTCATCTACAAGAGCAACAGAAAGGTTTACTCCCCAGATAGCCACAAGAGCTGAGCTGAGCCAGGCCAATGGGGGACCTGGAACTCCATCTGGGTTTCTGAGTCTCTGCTGTGGGTGCCAGAGGCCCACACACTTGAGCCATGAGCTGTTGCATTCCAGGATACATCCGCAGGAAGCTGGGTTGGAAGTGGAGTAGCTGGGATTTAAATGGGTATTCTAGAACCGGTGTGGGCACCCCAGGTAGCGGCTTAAGCCACTATGTCACAATGCCTGCCTCTGTTTTCCCACAGGCTTTTTAAAAATTTTTGAAGCATCTTAGTGTGTTCGTGGACTGGTGACTCAGGGTCCATCCATCCATGTACTCATTCATCTGTGTATCCATCCACTGATCCACCATCTACACACATATCATCCTTCCAGCCATTCATTCCTCCACACATTCCTTAATACGCTCCCATCTACCTATCCATCTTCCCATCCATCCATCCATCTTCCCTCTTGCTTCTGTCAGGTCCTGAGGTCCAGCCTCAGAGCTGAGGGCTGGAGAAGCCTCCTGCCTTCAGAGGGTGGCTGAGCAGGTATGGAGGGTGGGAGGAGGGGCGAAGGTAGCTTTGGTCCCATTGATCTAGAGTGAGAGCACGCTGCTGGAGAAACTTCTGGAACATTCCATTTCCCCTCCAGCGTCTTCTAAGCACTGGCTTTATGTCCTCTCCCCTCTCTTCTTCCTGCTGATGGAGTCCCTGACTGCAGGTGCCTCTAACTGGCAGGGAAGAGCTGGAATTCATGTGGGCCTGCTTGCATTTCAGCATGGCTGATACCTTCTGGCTGCATTCGGGATTTAAAAAAAAAAAATAAAAATCCAGCTCCCAAAGACTTAAGGCCTCCTGGCAACCTGGGCATGCCCCTCCCCAAAAGGAGAGAGGAGTCCGCCGAGCCTCGGCCCCCACCCCACTCCCCACTTCCCTATCAGGAAGGCCAGGCTGGCTCCGGTGACTGACTCGCGTGAGCCCATTGTTGTGGACTCCATGACAACTAAGTCTTCCTTGACAGTTACTTTTATTCATTCATGTGTTCCGGGCCTTTTGGTTTGGTTTGTTCATGTGCTAATTTAACTGTTCATCCACATTTTTTATGATTTACTTATTTTTATTTAAAAGGAAGAATTTCAGAGTGAAAGAGAGCTCCTCCATCTGCTAGTTCACTCTCCAAATGCTTGCAATGATCAGAGCTGTGCTGATCTGAAGCCGGGAGCCTGGAGCTTCTTTGGGATCTCTACGTGGGTGCAGGGTCCCAAGGCCTCGGGCCATCCTCTGCTGCGTTCCCAGGCCATAAACAGGGATTTTGATTGGTTACAGAGCAGCTGAAACTCGAGGGGGCGCCTATATGAGATGCTGGCTTCGCAGGTGGTGGCTTTACCTGCCGGCCCCCAAATCAATACAAGATTTGAAGCATATGTTTACAATCCAACCGCCCACCAAGGACCAGTACTCCCAGATTTTAGTGGTTTGAGTCGCCCAGCTGGTGGGGAGAGACCCGGGGCAGGGAGCCAAGGCACGGCTGGTCCTTCCTGGTTGAGGGGGTGGGGAGAGAGAGTAGGAAGGAGAGCTCAGAGAAGCCAGGGCCTGGAGAGAGTGGGCAGGGCAGCGTGAGGAAGGGAAAGAGAAACAAAGCAGAAAGGTTATAGGAGGGCACAGAGAGAAGCAAGAAGTGGGCAAAAGGTAAGGAAGCAGTCGGCTCAGGGGCCAGAAGGGGAGAGGATGGGGCAGGCATGGCTGGAAGAGCGGGCACCCAGAGGGCCAGAGGAGAGGGGGGCAGGAGCCCAGGCCGGCTGGGGCTGGGAGGGGCTGGGAGGGGCTGGAAAGGACCGGAAGGTCAGACGTGCTTGTCTCCCTCCGCTTTCTACAGGGGCATCACAAGAGACGCCAAGGGGCCAGAATTCAGGCAGCAAGGCGTGGATCCCTCTCATTCTTGTCAATAGGAAGTTGTCTTGAAACCAAAACTCTTGGAGAGCTCCAAGGAATGAAATGCTAAACAAACAAACAAATAAAATACTTTGAATTCTTGTATTTCTTGAAGAGCTGACACATGTACAGGGTACAAAAGTCAACAGATCCCCAAGGTGCACAGGCTGGACGTGGTCCGTGGCCCACCGCTGGTGTCTGACTGCGGGCAATCCTGTAGACATTTGGCACAGCAGCAACAGGCTCCCTGTTGCTCCCCTGGGCTTCTGTGGTTGTTTCTTTTTCTAAATCTGTTTCATGCCCACACCTCTGAAGCTGTCTTTTAAAAATGTATATATTCATCTTGGTATATCTGAAACAGTAACAGGACAAGGACAGGGAGAGACAGAGAGCTCTCCCCCGGGCTGGCTCACTCTCCAGATACATGGGAGAGCCAGAGCTGTGCCAGGCCAAAGTCAGGAGCCAGAATGTCCTTGCCAGCATCGTTGGCCAGTTGCAGTATCCCAGCAGGCAGCTGGACCAGCAGCAGAGGTGGGCTGCAACCCCAGGCACCCCAATTTGGGAAGCAGGTGTCCCCAAGTGGCTTCGCCCGCTGTGCCATAAGGTCAGCCCCTTGTTCTCTGTCATGGCCGCACAGTAGACCCGTTTGGGTGTACTTAGGACAGATGGATTTATAATTTGCCCACCTCACAAAGTCTATTGTAAAAGCAACAGACATCCAATGGAATCCGTACTGTAATTAAAAGGTAGATAAGAGGGTCTGTTTATTTAGAGCTACAGAGTGACAGTCTTCCATTGGCTAGTTCACTTGTCTGACAACCACAATGGTCAGGGCTGGGCCAGGCTGAAACCGGAAGTCAGGAGTCTCATCCGGGACTCTCGTGCGGGTGGTAGGTGGTGCCATTACCCGCCGGGCCACAATGCTGGCCCCGAGCGTATCCCAGGTTAGCAACACATGGCACGCGTCTCTCTGGGGATCCTGGGCAGTGGGGGTCACCGCTCCCCATCACAGGGGAGGCTCAGCATCACGCACCACGTTAGGAGGATGAGCCCGGAACTGCAGCAGATGAGGGATGGTGTGTGCACTTGGTCTCACAACAGTTTCAACAACCCCGTTAAGAGTCAAGAAGTGGCTGATGGGGATGGCGTCGTGGTGTTGCACATCAAGCTACTGCCTGCAACCCTGGCTTCCTGTATGAGTGCCAGTTTGAGCTCTGGCTGCTCCACTGGGGGAAAGCAATGGAGGATGGTCCAAGTACTTGGGAACCCTGCTACCATGTGGGAGACCCAGATAGATCTTCTGGCTCCTGGCTTTGGCCTGGCCCAGCCCTGACTATTGTGGTCATCTGGGGACTGAATCAGTGGGTAGAAGATCTCTTTTTCTCCTTCTCTCTCTCTCCCTGTCACTCTGCCTTTCAAAAAAACAAATGAATGTTATATCCATCTATTACATCTATACATTATATCATACATCATAAAGCTAACATTTATGTAAGCACCAGCCAGGTCAAGACCTAAAACATGAGGCCAGCATTGTGCCATAGCAAATTAAACTGCTACCTGTGATGTCAGCATCCCATATGGGCATTGGCTTGAATCTGGCTGCTCCTTCTCCTTTGCAATCCCCTGCTAGTGACCTAAAAGATGGCTCAAGTGCTTGGGCCCCTGCACCCATGTGGGAGACCCAGAGGAGGCTCCTGGTTTCAGATCAGCTCGGCTCTGGCTATTTGAGGAATGAACCAGGGGAGGAGTGACGTCTCTCTCTCTCTATCTTTTCCCAACCACTTCTGCACCTCTGCCTTTCAAATTATCATCATCATCATCACCGTAACCAATATTGCCAGCACTCCGTAAGGGGAGGTTTGTGGCACACGCCCCTTTGAGAACCCTTTTCCTCTTGGCACTGTTGCACAGGGCTGTGCTTTTCCCCTTGTTGGCTAGCATTTCATTGTCAGAATTTATTTTTGTGCCATCATAATTTAGCTGGTCTCTCATTGAAGGGCATTTGTTTCCCCTTTGCTGTTATAAATAAGGCTGTGGTTCATAACTTATACTCACCTATACCTGGTCAGATACATGCCTGCCACAAGTTCCTGGGACAAACGGCATGTTATTTCCTTCTAAATGTTTCTGTTCCATTTTGTTTGAAAAGCAAATATGTATGTGTATACTATATATATAACTTACATATAGTATATAACACATGCGTGTGTGTGTGTGTGTGTGTGCTAGCAATGCAGGTGGAGGCTTTACAGCACCACAGCACCACTCCCCCCAGTGCTGTGCCAAGTACCCGCTGGTGGGCAGTGTTATTTTAAACGTTGAGGTGGCTGATGATAAACAATAGATTTTGTCATGTTGCCCTTGAGATATATATATATAGAGAGAGAGAGAGAGCTCCCATCCCCTAGTTCATTGTCAAACACCTGCACTAGCCAGGGCTGAGCCAGGCCAAAGCCAGGAGCCAGGGACTCCATCCGGTGTGGCCCGTGGGTGGCAGAGCCGCTGGTCCTTGAGCCGTCAGCCGCTGCTTCCCAGGGCGTGCGGTGTCAGGAAGCTGGACTGAACCCAGGCACTCTGACACCTGATGTGAGGGATCCCAGATGGAGTCTTTGCTTCATTTCATTTTATTTAATATTTATTTATTTGAAAAAGAGTCACAGCGATTGATACAGAGAGATCTTCCATCTGCTGGTCCACTCCCCAAATGGCTGCAAGGTTATTGTTGAGCTGACTCAAAACCAGGAGCCAGAAGCTTCTTCCAGGTCTCCCACACAGGTACAGAGGCCCCAAGTGTTTGGGCCATCCTCCCCTGCTTCCCAGGTGCTTTAGCAAGAAACTGGTTAAGAAATAGAGCAGCCAGGACTTAACCCAGCACCCACATGGGGTGCTAGCAATGCAGGTGGCGCTTTACTCACAGCAGTACAGCACCGCTCCCCCCAGTGCTGTGCCAAGTACCCACTGGTGGGCAGTGTTATTTTAAATGTGGAGCTGGCTGATGATCAATGGCAGATTTTGTCACATTGATATTACTTGTACTTGTTCAGTCTTGTACCAGGAGCTCCTGCTGCGCTTTGTCCCTGCCCTGCTAGGCCTGTGGGTGACCGCCTAGGGTTGGGCCCTGCAGAGTGACACAGACTGAGCAAGTCTAGGGTGCTGAGGTCTCGCTCATGGCCCTACTGTGGGCATGGGGGTGGGTGGGGTGCTAACACAACAGCTGGCGATGGGAAACTCAGGCAGGTGTCCTGAAACATGACCCCTGACCTCACGGACCCCCAAACTTCAGCCCAGAACAGTCAAAAATGAGGAAATGGCATGCCACGTTTCTAGCAACCGGCCCCCCACGGGGTGTGACAGGGCATGTGGGAAAGCACAGGCCTCTTGACCAGAAAGCGCTGAGCTTGTGCACAGAAATGGCCGTCTCGCAACTTCCTCTCCCGGTTGAGACACTGGGAGAGGCTCAGCAGGCCCCACCAGCCTGTGCCGCCTGGGCCCCTCAAGGCTCCCCCAGCTCCAGCCTTGGCCTCGGGGAGCCTCAGGGCATTGAGAAATGCAATAAGCCAAGGCTCCACCCCACCCCCACCCCCTGTATGGAGCTTCCCACAGCTGGGGAGAGCATATGGGTGGGGTGGGGGTGAGGGTGGGCCAAGTTGGACTCCTGGCTCCACCTCTGTTCCCAGCTGCCTTCTAAGATGCACCCTGGCAGGCAGCGGCTCACAGGCTGAGTGCTTAGGTCCCTGCTCTGCATCTGGGAGATCTGGGTGGAGCTCCAAGCTCTGGATTCCATTCTGGCTCCATCTGTTGCAGGCATCTGGGGAGCGAGAGAACCACTGGATGCTCTGTCTCCTTGGCTTTCAAATACAAGGAAAATTTGTGAAACTTAGAAAAAACAAAAACCAGAGCAGGTGGGTATGCCCCGTGCACGGCATGGCAGGCGGTAAGGAGCAGAGTGGGTGGGGACAAGTGAGCAGACAATGGACGTTCAGGCCAAACTGCCAGTGCAGAGTTCTGGACCAGAGCAAGAGAGGGTGGGGAAAGCTGCGTGCACCTGCGCTGGGCTGCAATGTGAATCGGGCACCATGGAGAGGCCCAACTGGACCTGTGGCTGTGGGGATAAGGCAGTGCAATGGCTGAGCATTGATTCTGGGCAAAATGGACTCTGTGGCAGGTGCATTCTCTGTGACCAAACCTGTAGTTGATGCCGTTATCATGTCCAGGGCACCATGAAGCTTGGAGGTGGCTGGCAGCAGGCACCCCATAGCCCATCCAGGGTACAGATGACAGCTCACCCCGGGGGCCCGCCCCGTCTGTGGAGGCAGGGCAGGTAGTGCTATAAGAAAGGGCTGCAAGCTATATCCCCACCTTGAGCCAGCTCTGTGGGGCAGTGGGGTGGGAGATGGAGGGGCTTATCAGGTTGAGGAGGGGCAGGCTCAGGGCACACAGCTGGGGCTGTCCAGACCCTGAGTTTCTCCCACGGGTATTTCCCTGCCTGAAAATCCTCCCCTGGCTCTTGTCCATCCACAAGCTGCAACTCAAACCTGCAAGGCCTGTGCCGGGAGGTGGGTGGGCCTGTAGCCAACAGAACGGCCAGCCTTTCTCCACTTCCCCCAGCCCTGGGGCCAGCCCTCCCGCTGCCGCCAGCCCCAAACCCATACTCCCAGAACCTCTTTCTCAGTCTCCCATAGCCCTTGCTCACAGCTGCGCCACCCCCCACCCACCCCACCACTCCCAACCCCCTGGGGTCTCCTTCACACCCCAAGACCCCTGCCTTTCAAGGGCTCACCTCCTCCAGGCTGTCTCCCAGGTCACTCCCTGCCTCAGTCTCTCCTTCCCATTCTACCACAGCTCCTGACCCCTCATACCCCAGCCCCAGCAGAGAGGAGGCCCAGGTTCCTCCCCACCCCACCCCCCAACCTCTGAGCCCCAAATCCCGGCCACCTCCGCCACACCCGTGTCTCCTGCTGACCAGGCCTGCAGACAGGAGCTCACCTCTTGGCCACATCACTCGGCACCTCAAACCCACCGCCACCCACAGCCACTTCCGCCTGCTCACCACGGGCAGCACCGCACCCCTGCTCACCCGCCAAGCGCAGGAGCCACTCCCCACCCCCGGCCCCCTCTTCTGCACAGCCCCCTCCACCTTCTCCTGATCCCCAGGATCCCAGGGATCTTCCCTACCACGGATGGGCCGTGTGACTTCCCCGCAGCCAGGACAGCAGCAGCCGCCAGCCCTGCTTCCCACGGTTGTTCTGTGGCCTGCACCAAGCGATGGCATAGCCTGAGCCAGGGACAGTGTGGGGGTCTATTAGTGCACACTTGCCCCACGGGTCTCTCAAGCTTTACTGATCCCTTTAGGGATTAGGGGTGTGACCCTGGAGACCCTTTAGCTGACAGGAGACCTAAGTTGCACATGCCCGTACCCCATGGGAGGAGGTGGGGCGGGGGAGGGTGGAGAGTGGCTGTCCCCTCTTCCCCAGCCCAGCAGTGCAAAAATGCAGGGGAGCTGGCTGGCAGGCTCCACCTGTGGGGTCCTGGGCCATTTTGATCAAGGGCAAAACCAGCTGGGTCTGAAGTGGAGATGCTAGTGGTGACCCCTGCCCACCCAGGCTCTGGGTTGGAGCTCCTGCTCATTTTCTGGAGTATCGGTGAGGCTTGAATTCAGGGTGCACACTCCTGCCCCAGGCCTTAAAGACACAGAGGGCCCGAGGTAGCCCTGGGACACAGGCCATGTTCTTCCCAAAACCTGAGTTCAGCCCCGGGGGGTCCTGGGCCATGACCCCCTGGGCACAGAGATCTGTGGGTGCAACGGGGTAGAGAGCGGGCCCTTTCGGACCAGAGAGTGAGGGGCGGCCTTCAGCGTGGAGGATAGCACTGGGCTGCCTCCAGGTCCCTGGAGGTGGGGAGAGTGTCCCAGCTGGGAGTGGGAGGCAGCCCAGGGTGCGGGTGTGGAAGACCGGGCCGGGGGCCTGGAAGGAGTTAACTCCGTGCAAGGCCTGAGTGAATCAGAGGCTCCGCAGGCTGTGGTGGAAATTCCCTGTGCGAGGCGTGTGGTCACCCAGAAAAGGGAAACTGCGCTTTTCGGACCAGGGGATGGCGGGGGCTGGAGCCAGGGAGCAGACGCCTGGCCGGGTGGGGCTGGCCAGGGTGTTGAGACCAAGGAGGCCTGGCTTCTGGCTCTGCTTGGGACCCTAGGCAAGGAAGAAGGAGGTCTGGCCAGGACTGGTCACACTATGAGGTGTCCATGGGCCTTGACGGATACGTAGGAGTTCACTAGGTCTGAGGAAGGACAGGCCGTGGGAACTGCTACACAGCCCAGACACGGGTGTGTGTGTGTATGTACATGACTCAGCTCTGGCTGGTATACTCCTTCCTGGTCCCAGGACCAGCCCAGGCAGTACTCACTGCCCCTCCCTGCAGCCCACCATCTCTGAGACCCTCTTAGCTCCAAACTGGGTGACTCCATCAGCTTTTCCCATAGGACTAGGGGTTCTTCAGGGCCTGGTTGTGGGGGACCCAGCCAGCCAGCTGGGGCAGAGTGGGCTCAGGCCAGGCCTTGCCCCGGCTGGCATGCCAGCAGGCAGAGCCTTCCTGGCAAGGCCTGGGCTGAACCCGAAGGCAGGCGGCCCCATCTGGGGTTCTGTAGTCCCAGTCCTGCTTGCCCTTAAACTTCAGGCTCGCCCTGCTCCTGTCCTCAGCAGGTGACTGGGAGGGCCACCGAGGCATGAGCTGGAGTGAGCTACTGTCAGAGGGAGCCGGCAGGGCACTGGGCCTGGCAGCTTGCTGCCAGCATCCCAGCATCCCAGCATGGGCCCTTGGCACAGCCATGTGCGTCCTTCAGCCTATGCTTTCCTCTCTCTGTTCAATGGCCACTCAGGGAGCAGCCTGCTGCGTGTTCATAGTGAGCTGAGCGCCGTGAGCTGCAGGCCAGGGCGGCCTAATTAATCATGAGGATGTCATCCCCCGCCGTCTCACTCCCTTCCTCCCCAACCTGATACCAATTTCTGAACACTTAGGCTGGCTGGTGAGTTGGGCAGGGGTAGGGGGTTCTCCCTGCCCCAAATCCATCCTGGACATGGGGCCCCCACACAGTGTAACTTGAGGACCATGATGGCTGCGGCTTCCCATGTCCTCCAGGAGGCCCCAGGTACTCTGATTCCACCACAGCCCCTGGACTCCTGTCCCTCCAGGCCACCATGAAGACCAAGGGTGCCTGGCAAGCCACCCCCAGGCAGGGCCCCGCAGCCCAGGGGCTGCCATTGGAGTTGGAGCTTTTCCAAGAGCGAAGGGGAACTGAGAACTGTGGGAATGGGCTGGGCCCGGCGGCAGGGGGCCACTCCTAGGCACCCTGACGCGAGGGTCCTAGGATGAAGAGGGGAAGGGGACCCTTGGGGTGGGCCGCAGGGGAGGAGGGATGGTGTGCCAGGGGTGGTCACTGTGCAAGGCGAGCAGGGTGTCCGGGGGCTCGGCTGGCCAGTGGGAGGCCGGGGAGCCATGCAGGGAAGGAAAGAGGAAGCCCTGTGGAGCGGGGGTTGGGGCTGTCGGGGATGGAGTGGGAGTGGGGGCTGGGGGCCTGGAGCTGCTTTGGCCACAGCCACTTCACTTCTCCGGGTTTCGGTTTATGAAGAACTGCTGGCTCCAGGAAGGCGACATGTGGCCTGGGCCGAGGGAGGCCCAGGGCCCGCCAGGAGCCACCAGATGCTCAAAGCTCGCATCCGAGAGCCCTCCCCCAAATCCCACTCCTGCCCCATTCGCCGGCAAAGGCATTCAGTCCGGCCAGCATGGGGCCTGACATGGGAGAAGGGTCGGGTGGGCCCAGCCCTGGGCAGCCCCCACCTGTGGTCACTGAGGTGATGCAGCTGGCCCGGAGGAGCGGTAGAACTTGATGACTCGGCCACACAGGGCTTATTTATAACTGGGCCTTAAAGCAGCTGTGGAGCTGCCAGCTCAGCACCCAGCCCGGGACTGGGGGCACGCTAGTAAGGGCCATGCCAGCCAGACACCTCAGCCAGCCAGCCAGCCAGCCAGCCCTGAGGGCTCCTGGTCAGAGTCCTGGCAGGGCCCTAAGACTTAGTGGGGGAGGCACTACTTGTGCAGCAAGCATTTCAGAACCTTCTAGAAGCCCGGGGGGTGGCTTCAGGCTGAACTTGGGGTCAGTACCCAGGAGGCTCAGGCCTTGAGCGCTCTGCCAAGACGCTCTTCCTGCGAGAGTCAGTTGCTGGTAGCAACTCAGCAAGAAGCCAAGTCATCTCTCCTCCACTTCTTGCACTCTCAGTTCAAAAACAAGAGGGAAGACAGTCAATGCCGGCCGGCCTCAGGCCTGGTTCTCCAGGGGCGGACAGGTGGGCAAGGACACAGGCTGCCTGCTACCACCCTACCCCCAGTCCCTGGAGGACAAGGCGAGGGAGGTGGCCACCCCTCCTTGTGGCTGGCTGGACAAAAAGGTTCCCCAGGCTTTCCCCCCTGTTTGGGGAGGGGCATGGGGGATCCTTCCAGGTCTTCTGTCTGTCCCAGCCACACCCTGTCTGCCCAGCCTGGGCCCACTACTCGGTCAAGGATCACATGAATTCCCACCTCAATGAGCCCAGTGTTGTCCTCAAAGGTGAGGTTTCTGGGATGGGTCATTCCACGCATGTCCCCAGTGGGGCACAAATGGATGAGGGGCATTACAGCGCAAATGTCCGACATAACAGGAGGAGCTGAAGGCCTGAGTGCGTCACACGGGATCAGGGTCCTTCAGCCAAGGCGGAGCCCAAAGCTTAATGCTGTCCACACTGCCTGGCCCCCTGCCCTGACCTCTGACCTCTGGGACCACCTGCTCGTTGGGCCAGAGCAACACCCCCGCCCGGCCTCTTCCTCTGGGCGGAAGCTGTTGGGGATGGGGGGGTTGAGGGGGGGTGCCTAGCACAGTGAAAGGGGGGAGAAGGGGGCCTTAGGTTGCCCACTGCCCCGGTCTGGAGCCTGTGGGGGTGGTGAGCCCACTCAGGCCCCTCTGGGGAGGGTCGGAGCGCCCAGCCTGGAGCCAGCCAGGCTGCAGCTGCCCCTGTTTCCACATCGGCAGCAGCAAGGCGGGCGCCTGTGAAAACAGGAAGCGCCGGGTCACCACAGGAAGCGTGTGTGCGCCGCCTCCCCACCCCCGAGCCATTGCAAAACGCCAACAGCCCCATTACCACAGGGGCACAGGGGCTGGGAGGCCGCTCGCTCTGTCCCGGGCTTGCCCAGCAGCCAGGGACACTGTGTCGCACCTTGGGGCCAGGGAGCTCTACTCTGGCCCCTGGGAACCAGCAGCCCCCTGGGCCTTCTTTGACCTTCAGGCTTCTTAGCCCAATCCCCAGGCCGGCCTGAGCCAGGCTGACTTTGGCCACCCTTCAAGCAGAGTTTGGGGTCAGGGGTCAGGGAGAAGCCATTTCTGGTCTATCCAGGAGTCTGGCTCTGAGGGGCCTAGCCTGCCGGAACCTGACCCCACAAGGGTGCCCCATCCCTGAGCCTGGCTGGAGCCGTTGGCCCAGAGCCCGCCACCCTCCCCCACCCCAGGGGACCCCAGGGAGCCTCTTGTAGTCAGACCCACACCTGCCACACCCTCTGTCCAAGTCCCAGCCCTGGCCCCGGGGTTCCCAGGGTAGGGGTGGGAGGTCTGCTCCCTGGCTTGCCTTTAGGAGGCCTGGGGCCCCTCCTCATCCTGCCCTGTCCCCTCCCCTGTCCCCTGCTCACCTCTGGGCGCCAGGCCCCAGGCTATGTGCCCTGAGATGGAGGCGGCAGCTGGGCGCCCGGAGAGGCCTGCGCTCCTGCAGCCCCGGGCAGAGCAGGGAAAAGAGAAGAGAGCCGAGTATTTCATGGCTTTAATAAATCAAAGGGGGAAGTCGGAGCAGGAGAAATAAGAAACTTCCCTAGCCTGGGCACGGGGACCTGCCCGGCAGCAGCCCCTGGGGTGCCCCCAGCCTCCCCTCCTTCCTCCTGGCCGGTGCTCAGCACGCCTGGGCACCAGACTCCTGCACCTGCTCGGAGCCTCTCTCGCTGTGCCCCTTGGGCAAGGGAATCTCTCAGGGGTAAGCTTCCTAGTTTGCTCCTCCAGGCACATAAAACCCAACAGGGGGAAAGGAACGGCAGGCTGAGATGGGGGGAGGGGGTCTTCTCTGGACCCTGGCCCCTCCTGGAACCAAGGGAAGGCGGCAACTTCCTGACAAGGATTATGGGGACAGGTGGTGGAGCTGGACCCCTGCATCTGTGAGTGAAATTCAGAGGGCAAGATGGACAAAGGTACCAGGAACAGAGGGACCCTGCCCAGGACGGTGGCAGCCCTGACCTTACGCTTCTCCCAGACTAGGCCACATAGCAGGTGCCTGGGGCCCATGGCACAGGGGAAGGAGCCCTGACCCCTAGCAGGCAGCTCCAACCTGCCCTGAGTGCCTCCCCTTCCCTCCCCCCCGCCCCCAGCCAGGTAAAAGATTGAGCAGGAAATGGCCCACATGGAGAGGGAAATTGAATGGATTTTTAAGGTAAGAAAAGAATTTCTGAAACTTTCTGGTTAGCTCTGGGAACCGCAGTAAACCAAGTCCAGCCGACTAGGAGTCATCCTCCTCCTGCCAGGGCCTCGCCTGGACGCCCCTCTAACACGGGGTGCTCGTTTCTTCCACTGGCTGCAGATTTGGTGCTCCTCTCTGGCCCTGGGGGCTCGAGAGAGAGAGCCAGGCCTCGGCCCCAGGGAGCCTTAGTTTAGTGTACCTGCAACCTTGTCAGGCAGGAAGACACAAACATCCAAGTGGCAGTTACTCCTGGGGTCCAAGTGAGCTCAGCGGGGTGCAGAGCAGGTGCTGTGTGTAGGTCTGGGTGCATGACCTCATCTCCCAGAGCCTCAGTTTCACCATGTGGAAAATGGGAAGAGGGGTGTCTCCGTTGAAGGTATGCACTGACAGACACAAGAAGCCGTAGAATGGAGTCATGGGGTATCCAGTGTCATCCTGCAACTGCCCCAGAGGCCCCCACTTCCTCTCTCCTCTGGCCCCCACCTGCCAGAGTCAGGCTGGGAATCACGGCCTGTTCTCAGAGCACCCCAGGGTCCCTGGTATAGCTTGGATCCATCCTGTACTGTGAAAGGGCAGGAGGCAGGGGAAAGAAACCGCCCTGCTCTGGGTGTGGGACAGATCTGGGCGGGCCTGCTGGTGCTTCCCACACCGCTCTCACACCTGGCCAGCCATGACTTATCCCAACAGTTGGCGGCACTCTACATCCACAACATCTGGGAATGCTTGCAGCTATAGGGCTCCTGAGCCCCACTTCACAGAGCAGGAGACAGGCGGAGAGCAGGCCGGAAGGAGAACCACCTACAGGGGCCACATCTCAGGACTACCATCCCCCTGTCCAGTGGACACTGTGCAAAAAACCACGAGGCCTCCTAGCTCCTTTATGTTTTAACAACAAGATTACAGAGACAGATGCAACAGCTGGGGGTAGCCCAGTTTGAAGCTAGGAGCCGGGAGCTTCATCTGTGTTCCCCACATGGGTGGCAGGGGCCCATGTATTTGAACTCCTTCCCAGGTGCATCAGCAGGAAGCTGGATCAAAAGCAAAGCAGCTGGGCTCAGCACAGTAGCTTAGCAGCTAAAGTCCTTGACTTGCACAGCCTGGGATCCCATATGGGTGCAGGTTCTAATCCCAGCATCCCTGATTCCCATCCAGCTCCCTGCTTGTGGCCTGAGAAAGCAGTCGAGGACAGCCTTGGGACCCTAAAACCACGTGGGACACCCGGAAGAAGCTCTGAGTTCCTGGCTTCAGATTGGCACACTCTAGCCGTTGTGGCCACTTGGGAAGTGAATCCGTGGATGGAAGATCTTCCTCTCTGTCTCTCCTGCTCTCTGTATATCTGCCTTTCCAATAAAAATAAATAAATATTAAAAAAAAAAAAAGAAAAGAAAAACTAGAGCATCTGGGATTCGAACTGGCATTCATGTGAGGTGGTGGCTATGCCACAGTGCTGGCCCAGGTGGTCCTCTTTGCATGGAAGAGAACTCGCAGCCTTGGTGAGTGCCCCTGCTGCCCAGGTCTGCAGCCACAAATTCCACCCAAGCCTCTTGGCTCTGTCCCCGACCCCAGAGTCTGCTGCTCCTCTTGCTCCAAGCTGCAGGATATCAGAGTTTGAACAATCTCAACCTCAAGTGCTCCTGGGAGTAGAGACGACAGAATCCACAAAGATGGGCAGCCCTCCTAGATGACAAAGCCCCTTGGGGGACGGTGGTTGGGAAAGAGGAGGACATTTAGCCCAGCGGTTAAGATGCTTACAGTCCACACATCTGAGGACCTGACATCAACACCCAGCCCCTGGTACCAGCTTCCTGCTGAGGTGAGCCCTGCCTCCCACCTGGGAGGCCACACTGGGGTCTCTGGCTCCTGGCTTCAACCTGGCCCAGACCCGCAGATTGAAGATCTCTCTCTGTTGCTATGGGGGGGCTAAGCCTGGCATCAGATGTTCTTGGCTCTGCAGGGGCAACTCCCCGGGTCAGTGACTCAACCCAGAAATGGCCTCTCTTGTGGCCCTGAACATTTCACAGAAGGCTCACCCTTCTTCATGCATGATCTCATCCCAGCCTCATCACAGCTTAGGTCTGTAGGTGTTACTCGGACTGCCAGGCAACCTGCAAGGAAACCCAGGCAGGGGACTTCCCAAGGGCACACAGCCTTGCCAGGGACTGAACCCCAGTCCCCACCCACCTCCAAGTCAGAGACACCAGCCCGTGCCCAGGAGGGTCCTTCCTGTCTGCTCCATGCCTCCAGCCTCAGGGTCAGGAACCCCGAGTTTGGTCCTTTCACACTTATAGTCGTGGTCCCCAAGGACCACCTGCCCTTGCATTTGGTTGTGTTTAGGCTCTTTTCATCCAGAACAAGATGAAGGGAGCCTGAAGTCAGGAAGGTGTGCAGCAGGGCAATGAGAGGTGCGCCCACCATTCAGAGCGGGGGTTCCTGCTCCCACGCTTTCAGCTGAATTCACCCCAGGCTACAGGGTAGGCCAACCCCATCTCCTGTCCCTCCCTTGGGTCTCCTGCCCAGGATGTCCCAGGCTTGGGAGTGGCAGGGTAGAGTGGACCTTCAGGCTAGGAGATGCGGGATGCTGGGGTGGGGTGGAGGGAGTGACGGGAAAGGAGAGATGGAGGGGGGAGATCGCCCGGTGAGGGCGTCAGCGTCCCGCACAGTCTCGCCGCAAGCCACCCTCTGCCCTTATCTGCTTCGGCAGCTTCCGCCCCCGTCCCGGGCCCCGCCGCAGGCCCCCGCCCCCCAGGGAGCGCGGGGCGCAGCTGCCCGGCCGAGCGGAGAGGGCGCCGGCCCCCAGGTGGGCAGCGGAAGGGACCGACCATCCTGCTCCGGCGTGCCTCGCTGCCAGCAGGTGCTGCTTCACACGAGCGCGCGTATTCGGGCTCCGGGAAACAGAGGGGCCCCTAGGCAGGGCCTGTGGCGCAGAGGCGCACTCCCCAGCACCCACACACACAGAGGCGCACCCCGCACGGGGCTGGGCGAGGTGGAGGAGCCTCCGAGGGGGTTGAGCGGCAGGAACCCCGGTCCCTCGGGAACAGGGGCAGACCCGGGTCGGTGTGGAACCGCAGAGGAAACGCACTGTGTCCAGCAAACGGCCAAAGGGTGCTTAGCCTCAGGGCTGCTGAGGGAAATGCAAATGAAGGTCTAGGGCTCCGACAGGGGGAGGGGGACGTTGTTACCACGCTGCGCCCCAAGTGACCGCTCCCCCAGGATGTGAATGAGACTAGAACCCCGCGAACCCCACCTGGAGGCGCCAAAGGCAGGGAAGCGCAGCTGGGATACTCCTGGCTATGGAAACTGGACCAATTGGCCCTCAAGGGCAGGGTGTGACTGCCAGCCCCAATCAACCCGCAGCCTCACCGCCTCCATCGGTGGTTTTAGTTCAGAAGTCATGGATGCAAAACATCAGATTTATACCGGGAGATAAATTCTTAGCTTTCTGTGAAATTCAAAGCCAAGGCAGACTTGTCTTTACAAATCACAAGGTTGATTCCTCCCTTTTAATGCTTTTTTTTTTTTTTAAGATTTACTTTTATTGGAAAGGCAGATTTACAGAGAGCAGGACTTACAGAGAGAAAGATCTTGCATCTGCTAGTTCACTCCCTAAGTGGCCACAATAACTAGAGCTGAGCCAATCTGAAGCCAGGAGCTTTTTCCAGGTCTCCCACGGGGGTGCAGGGTCCCAAGGCTTTGGGTCATCCTCGACTGCTTTCCCAGACCACAAGCAGGGAGCTGGATGGGAAGTGGAGCAGCCAGGATACAAATCAGTGCCCATATGGGATCCTGGAGGATGCAAGGTGAGGATTTAGCCACTAGGCTATCCTTTCAGGCCCTCTTCTAATGTTTTTGTGCTAAATAGAACATCTGATGACCCTCCTGACTTAGAAGTACATATTGAGAAAGCATTACTATTTTTTATTATGAGGCATTTATTTATTTGAAAGCCACAGTTATTGAGAGAGACTCTTCTGATTGCTGGTTCATTCCCCAAGCAGCTGCCAATAGTGAAGGCTAGGCTGAACAAAAGGCAGCAGCTTCATCCGGGCTTTCAACATAACCACAGGGTCCCAAGGACCTGGAGTATCTTTTACTGCTTCTCCAAGCCCATTAACAGGGAGTCTGATCAGAAGTAGAGTAGCTGGGACTTCCAGCGCCCATATGGAATGCCAGTGTTACAGGCAGAGGCTTAACTGACTACATCACAATGCTGGGAGAAATTATTGCAAGCCTGAAAATGTAGTGGGTATGTAAGGTACCAAGGGAATTCATAGAAATAATGTATCTTTCTGCATTAGTAATATGT